AAACAGTAAATATACCACCAAGTTTATGAACCTAATTGCGGTAGACGTCAAGTCAGGGGCAAAATCGTCCAACTTTTTCTGTAAAACCTGAAACGGAAAACAAACGATATCAGTGTGTTCAGGACGTCAAAATAAGTAAACTGCCCGAAAAAGCTCGCTGGAAGGTCCGCCACGCGCTGCCGCCGTCGCCGATCACTCTCCCCACCACAAGGAGCGCCTCAGTCTGCTGGTTATGGGTCCAGGTTCCATTTCGCCGAAAAGTCAATAGTTTGGTCGGAATTTGAATTTTTCAGATTCGGTCAGAAAATGGAGTAGCGATTTCCTTGCCGGTTTTGATCGATTTTTGGACAGATTTCACTCCTCCTAGCTCTGATACCAGTTTGTTGGGGATCCTAGGAGTTCAATCAACCAAAACATCAAACAATAGAAGAAATTCTAAGGCAAAACCAAGAAAATACGAAACCTGAAATAACACAACCCATATGGTCGAATCTGGACAGCTTCTGCTTCCTCCTTTCAGCAGCTTCTTCTCCTCCTTATGGCTGATTTTACAGGCTCAGGAACAGCCCTCCATGACTTGCAAATCACCTTCCAAGAGAGAGAGAGAGAAAAATCGGCAAAGAACCCACCACCTTCAAGCTAAAACCGAGAGACTATAGAGAAAGGAGAGGGAGTCGACTTAAGAAGGGAAGAAAAGGAAAGACCCATCCCTCTGCCAAAAAGGTGGGGAGCCTTATTGTGTCACCATCAATACCATCAAGTCAAAAACATCTCCCCCAAAATTAAATCCCGACCGTCGATCTTCATCCAATGGTCCACAAAAATCTGAATAAATGGAGTTAAAAGAACCATATTCTCACATATAATTATTAAAGGGTAATAAAATCTTCAAACCTACTCAATGATAAATTTCTTTTAATAAAAAATGAAATTACAGGTCAAATGTCACATCATTGACATCAATCATTTAACTTAGCTAGGTACTTATTAATTTTATATAATGCATGTCTACCAAATTAATTGACGGTTGATTAAAAAAAAATGTTAAACCCTAATTTTGAGGGCCTCCACCGTTCCGTCCCTAGAGATTTGTGAGGGAGGTAAATCGCGAGATGTGCCCCAACAGGTCAAGGAACAAGAGCTGTCTGTACACTGCACCTACAAAAAATCCAATTCCATGTCTCAGGAATCGAACCCTCACACTGCGACTGTCAGCAAGGCGTGAGATAACCTCACTCCTGTCTTTTGTACCATTGGACTATGCACCGGGAGGCAACGACTGATTAAAAACAAATAGCTTTGTATGTTAACTCTTGTTTGACAAGAATTAAAATCAAAATTTTATTTTATGTTAAAGTTATCATTTGATTTTATATTTTATGAATTTCACAACTTTCTAACCATACATCTCGTCAACTTTTGTCAAAATTTAATAAAAATTTTATTTTAGTCCCACCAAACAGGACTAATTGAGAAAGAAACACATTGACTCTAGATTTTATCAATTTGTACAAACACTGCTGATATCTTTCGTAAAGTGAACGGTCCAAAAATTAAAAAACAAAAACAGAAAAGTAAAATATTATATTATTATTAATATTCCATATCAAGCAACTAAAAATCATTTGTATCAAGAGATATAATATTAAATAAACCAGAATTAATTTAGATGTACATTCCTAGATGGTATTGTTGTTGACATTGTGTGAGTGGTCAGAATCTCGGCCATTAATTGTTTAAATAGTTATTAAAATCAATGTATAAGAAATTGTCAACTCACAAGAATGTCATCCATGATGTCATAGTTAATGCAGGGACAGATCCAACTACTGACCAGCCCACTCGGCCGCTTGTGCTGGATCCTCGGGGAACAAATATTTTTTGTTAGCAACAACTAAAGTATTTATATTATATAATTGATAATTCATTTTATATACAAACATTCTACGTAGTTGAGTTGGTTGGAGCTACCATAATCAGAGTGGAGCTCATGGGTTCGAAATTCTTTCAAAGCAATTTGTATTGCAAATTTTCTAATTCAAAAATTTTTACCAAAAGCAATGGAAAGGAAGCGATTCGAACCTTCTTTAAGATTGTTGAGGACTTGACCACTGTGGCACTATACAGATCCTGGCACTCAATGTAACAAAATTTTATATGTTCTTTAAAAAATTTAATGCAATTAAGATGATTCAAACATTTTCTCTTCTTTTGGATTATGCAAAGCTTGACAGCTGGGGTAGTGTTGAATTTTGTGAAGAATTTTGTTAACTTTTATCACAAAATTAATGTATCTGAATTTTTAGCAAAATAATTATTATATTTAATTTTAAATATTTTACTGCGATCGATGAAAATGATTAACCACCGTCCGTGCTCACTCAAAATGCTGGATTCGACCTGAGTTAATGTATATGTATACTAATATTTGACGAGAAACAATTTATTCATACTGTCTGATTCAATCTAGACATAAATGGCCCATGGTTGGTGGAAATTATTTAACTTTTTATGTAAAATAAAGATTCTGAAGACTTCTTTCTTTATAGGGGACCAATCAGTGAAACCAAATGAAGGACCCCCGCCTTTTCCATATATTTAACTTCCTCGCATGATGTTCCACGTATGCCGACCCTTTGATGGGAGAAATATTCAATCCCCACTCGCGCAATCACTTCCTTCAATGGACCATCCGCTTGTAGGATAAAAAGATTATAATGGTCACTAAATTTTTTCTCTACGTTTTAAATCGATCACTGTATACTTCAACTTAGGTCGAACTATTTCTATACTTATAAAATTGTTTTGTGATATTCATAGATTAGTACTGTCTATAAATTAACACATAAGCATGTGTAGCTATTGACATGGTTTTGTTGGAACCAATCTTATGTTATCCAGCGTTATCCCTCTATGTAAATTGCTCTATAGCGGGTTTCTTTAAATTAGAGTATTAAATCTATTTATTGGACAATATATCATGTACTTCTTCTTCTTCTCATTATTATTATTATTGTTGTGATTTTCATATACGGTTTATCCATGGTGAGAGGTTAATGTTGAATATAGAGAAAGTTCCATGCATGCCAAAACATTTGCCTTGCAAGCCTTGACTTAAAAATTCAATAAGATTATAATGTGAAAATCTCCTGAACACCCGACTGCCCACCTGTACATTGCCAAAAAATAATAATAATAATAATAATAATAACACTCGTTTAGAGGCAAGGCCAACGGTCTAGAATAACGTCTAAAGATCGTTTGCACTCCAATTGTCAAATTACATGTCAAAATTATAAAATATAAAGTTACTTGTGGATGGAAGATAAAAAGAATTTGTCTAAGGGTTAGAATACTTACCTTATGCCTCTCACTTACATATATATAGAGAAAGATACGAGGCAGTCAAGAGCGTGTGGCCGAGTTGGCAAAGGGCATGGCTTGGGAAACTGGGTTTGGCTTCGACGAGGGTTCAACCCTCGCTTGAGACATCCGCCTTCTCCTTGGAAAAGATTTAACCGGCTGGTGTGGTTGCGGGTCTCATGCCAGCCCCCAGGTTTACCTCATGCGCACTGGTCGTCAGTAGCGGCTGCGGGTTCCTGGGTTATCAAAAAAAAAAAAAAAAAAAAAAAAAAAAATAGAGATACGAGGCATGTGAATCAAGATGGACCATTAGTAATGTGTTATCCTGGTCATTGTAAAATCAAAGCCGACGGATTGTTTAGGACCCGTAGTTGATATGATACGACTCAATCCAGTTGAATTGACATCACCAATGTCCAATAAATAATGTGGTCCCTATCTTGCCACGTGTACCTCATGAATTATAAAAGCAGTAATAATATGAGTCGTACAAATACGCATAATAGTACGAGTCATACATTTCCGTGCCTTATATAATCATTTAACATTTAGATCTTTTACATACGAATGTTTTATATTCAACATACGGATAATTATCAATCAGAAACGGATTATCCATTGGTAAAAATAATCCACTTTCAACTCCGGTAATAAGCAATCGAATTTTCATTGATAATGACAATATCTCTTTGCAAAGGGATATTTATTGTCTCATGTAGTCATTTAACATTTGGATCTTCACCTACAGATATTCCATATGTGGTGTACGAATAATTATCAACGAATTGTATTATTCGTAGGTAAAAGTAATTCACTTTCAACTACGTTAATTAGTAACCGAATTTCCAAGATATAGAAATTAATCGTTCGATGTCTGCTCATTCTCCCCTCTTCAATTTCTAATGTTGGTAACGTCAATATCTCTTTATCAACGGATGTTTTGTGCCATTTGTAGTCATTTATCATTTTTTCACTTATGGATATTTCGTATGTGACGTGTGGATAATTATCAATCAGAATTGGATTATCTGTTGGTAAAAATAAACTACTTTCAATTACGTAATCAAAAACTGCATTTTTGTTGGTAATAGCAATATCTCTTTACCAACAGACATTTCGTTCCTCATATAATTATTTGACATTTGGATCGTTAACCTACGAATATTCTGTAGGTGACGTATCGATAATTAACAATGATTGCATCCATTTGTAATAAAAAAAGAAGGACTATTTGTTGATAAAATTAAGAGTTTGTTTCCAAGATATAGAAATTAATCGTTCGATGTCTGCTCATTCTCCCCTCTTCAATTTCTAATGTTGGTAACGTCAATATCTCTTTATCAACGGATGTTTTGTGCCATTTGTAGTCATTTATCATTTGGATTTTTCACTTATGGATATTTCGTATGTGACGTGTGGATAATTATCAATCAGAATTGGATTATCTGTTGGTAAAAATAAACTACTTTCAATTACGTAATCAAAAACTGAATTTTTGTTGGTAATAGCAATATCTCTTTACCAACAGACATTTCGTTCCTCATATAATTATTTGACATTTGGATCGTTAACCTACGAATATTCTATAGGTGACGTATCGATAATTAACAATGATTGCATCCATTTGTAATAAAAAAAGAAGGACTATTTGTTGATAAAATTAAGAGTTTTAGCTATGCAATTAGCAACCGAATTTCTATTAGTAAAGTTGATATCTCTTTACTAATAAATATTTCTTGTCTAATGTAGTTGTCGAACATTTGGATCTTTTACGTAAATCAATTTTTGTTAAATTTTTTATTTTTTCAAACCTTTACGTACGAAAATTTCATAGATGAAGAATAAATGCTACTATCTACGAAATATCTGTTGCTAATATTCATTAATTTTAATAATTAAAAAAAGAAATCCATTTACCTACTGAATATATGTAGTTGAAGGATATTCAAAATTTTCAAATAAAGTTGCAACCTCTTCCCTAGCTGATATTTTGTAGGTGAAGATTACTTCATGTTATCTATGATATATCCATTGCTGCAATTAATCAATTTTTTTTTTTAAATAATTCACGAACTGAAAATTCTAAGTTGGAAGGTAGTCAATTATTTCAAAATAATAATAATAATAATAATAATAATAATAATAATAATAATAAATTCAAAATCTTCACCAACAGATACTCGTAGGTGAAAATTTAATTTTTGTTAAATTTTTTATTTTTTCAAACCTTTACGTACGAAAATTTCATAGATGAAGAATAATTGCTACTATCTACGAAATATCTGTTGCTAATATTCATTAATTTTAATAATTAAAAAAAGAAATCCATTTACCTACTGAATATATGTAGTTGAAGGATATTCAAAATTTTCAAATAAAGTTGCAACCTCTTCCCTAGCTGATATTTTGTAGGTGAAGATTACTTCATGTTATCTATGATATATCCATTGCTGCAATTA